GTATTTATATCACACAATAATATATAACAAGTAAATAACTAATAAAGTTTCTCACAATAATAATTTATAAGTAAATAACAAACAATGTTTCGGCTCCCCGTGTTGGAACGAGACTGATTCACAATCGTTGAGTTATAGTTCGCGTTGCTTGTCTTACGCAACACTTAGTCATCCTCAACACGCTCCCACAAGGGTAGTTATGCAAAAATATAATTTATTTCAAGCGTACAATTATTTTCATAAAACTTTTAAAAATATTATACAACTAAAATTAAAGCTTAAATATAATAATTGTATTATATGTATTATACATTTAATCTTATCTATAAAATAAAACATAATATGGCACCTAAGTATTTATGCAATAATATTCTTTATACGACAAATACATGAGCATGATACATGAATTGTAAACAATTTTTTTATAAATATTGCAGGGTCAAAAAAAACCAAAAATTCATTTTTTTAAGGATTAACTTTATTTAATAATTTGCCTAACACAGTAAAAAATTGTCAAAATTACAAGACGTTTAAAACATTGTTAAAAAACATATTTTAGAAAATAACGTTGGCCTATTTTGAAAGAAGAATGGATGTGTGTTTGTGTATATGTGTATGTATATACGTATATATGTTTATATATAGATGGATAAAATATGTAAATAAGTGTATACCTAAATGCTTTTGTTGTATTTTGATATATTTTATGTACCATATATTATAAGTTTTTAATATAATTATTGACTGTTTTATAATGCTTTAGCTAAATAATAGTATATTATGTATCAAGTTTAATAAACGCCATTTTATACACGAATTTAATTTAGGCATGAGCGAGCTTGCGAGCGAGTGCTTAAGTTAATGAGTGTATAGAAAAGTTTATAAACGAGGTGCATACTATACTTTTTCTACGACAAATACTTATTATTATCTTAAAATGATTTAAATCAAAAATTTGTATAGAGCGCCATCTATGAAACAACAGGGGAAACTGTCAAATGTCACATTTTGACATTTTATAAACACAATTATAAAGGTTATAAAGTTTTTCACAGTAAAAGTATACTTATAAAGGAAATGTTTTATGAGGACTTTACAGTAGAGTCCATGCCCGAATTTAAGTTATAGTTTACTGCCGGCGAAATTAAAAGGTCAGTACAATGTTCATATAAACTTTTCAAATATTGGCGTTGAGAAGCTATTTAATACTTTTGTATTTTTGTATTGAGATAATAAAATAATTTTCACATTTAGTGTTATTTTACAAGAAAAGCAATTTATTTTAACGATTGTATGACATTTGACAACTGTCAACTAACTTAAAACTAACTTCAGCCCGTGACTAAAAACCTGTTGCTAACTTCAGCCCGTGACTAAAGCGCTATAAAGCCACAGCTTGTCAATGAGTATTTAAAAGGTCACTTAGTGTCATGGAAACATGTACGATAAAGGGCGTTTTAAAGGTGGGAGTAGAAAAACGTATTTATTTATTTATTTATTTATTTATTTTAAGTTTATGCAATAATATTATTTATTTCAAGCGTACAATTATTTTCATATTATTAGACTTATAAGTCTATATAGAAAGACTTCATATTAATCCTAGTTCAAAGATCATTATTAAACTAGTATTAAACTAAGTATAGAAATAAAGCTAAAATGTCATCATGTCAGTTAATTAAAGTAAAGTAATGTATTGTTCTCAAATGACCTACAAAGGTATTGGTGTAGTCCAGGTTACATAGTAATAATTACATACAATATTAAGACTTATTAAAACAAATATTTTAAATTACATATTTAGGTATACTCCAACACTGTAAAAAGATTTTTGAACTAAAAACTGCTGCAGTTTTCTTTTGAAGATACTTATATTGTTTATAGATTTTAAGTGTTAGAGAAGTTTGTTATTAATCTGAATTCCGGCATATTCCGGTATATGATTTTGCTCATATGTACTATAGTACTGTGTTTAGGAATCATGTAGTCATTCCGGGATCTAGTGTTGTACGTGTGATCATAGTTGTTGGTTATGAATAAGGATAAATTATTTTCAACTACGCTATTGACTCTATAACAAACATAACAAACACAACAAACACTAGATAATTCATTTGTATTATTTTCCCAACTTAAGCATTTATTGAGATAAATTCACAAAAATTTAGTTTATTTAACATTGCTTTATATATTTGTTATAGATTTCTATTTTTGTTTTTATTGAGTTTTATCGGTATTTACTAAAAGCTTATTTTTTGTACCTATCATTAAGGATTAACTGAATTTTTTAACAATAACAAAACAGTTTACCCATAATAAACGAAGGAATTAAGTGCCACGATTTCTGATACGAACTTTTCATAAATAAATTAGTTAAAAATGACGAATTACTACAGTTATTAGTGGCTGCTATTTCACTTATACCATGGTATACTATGGGATAGCATGGTATCCCTGACATAATAGTGTAAGGACTCTTGTCAGGATTTTAATCTCACTTCTAATAAAACTATGGTCTCAAATCAAATAGTATGTATTAGAAAAATTAATGACAGCCAACAACTAAATTAAAACTTTCATTCTTTTCTTCCTCTTATCCTGTCTCCCTGGTCGCACCTGTTCGGTATCTTTGTTGCCTTTCTTCCATACCGGTGTTGTTAGGCAAAACGTCTACAACTTGGGCATCCTGATTGGACATTGTCTCAATGTCATCAACAACCTCGATGAGGGTATTCTCCCAATCTTTGTCGTCTTGTTTGTCTCGGTTATCGTATTCATCTTCTCGGTTCTATTCTTCGTATTCGTCTTCCGTGTCATCAGTCTTATCGTTGTCGAACTCCTGGTTCATCCAATTTATATGCTTTATTCTTTCAGGGGGCAATACACTTTCATAGGGTTTTTGCCCGGGAATATCACTGACGAAATATCTATCGTTTTCCAATACTTTCTTTATTTGGTATGGTCCAATGAACTTTCTTGTCATTTTCGGGTTTATGTCCTGTTCGTTGCTGTTTCTCTTTATCATCACCAGATATCCTTGTTCAAACTTATTATGTGATAGGGCTTTTTTTATCATAATTCTTTTTGTATTCAGCTTGTCCTTTTTCCGTATTTATGACTACTTCTTCTCTTGTCCTTTCTCTATCTCTTAGATAGTTATCCACCATCAACTCTGTGAAACATGTGAGAACGCATCGATCACGCAAAACAAGTGTCTATGACCACTCTTCGTCTTTTCCAATAGTCCAAGATGATCTATATGGAGTGTCTCAAACGGTCTGGTTCCTTTACCAACTGGGTGTAAGTATCCTTTATTTTGTATTGATTTGTAGTTATACTCCAGGCATTTTAAACAATTAGAAACACATTTGTGGACAAATTTTCTCATGTTTTTGAAATAATACATAGTTCTGACCTCTTCCAGTGTCTTATCTGCTCCTAAATGTGCCAACTGTTCGTGTATTCTGATCACTATATTTTTTCTCATAGCTTTGGGTACGATTAACAGATCTTTCCCATTCACTCTTCTCAACACCTTGTTGTTGAACAAAAAGAATCCATCTTTATTCGGCACATTGCTCAAATTTTCCTTTAATTGTCTCAGTTCGCAGTCAAAGTCTTGTATGATGTCAAAATCAAGGTTCTATTCTAAGTAAAAACATCTGCTGAGTGCGTCAACATGTTCCATCTTTCCGCTTACTCTGTGTTCTACTAAATAATAAAATTCTTCCAACTTGAGGCTCCATCGGCAGACTCGTGCATTTAGTTATTTTTTCTTAAGGGTCATCTTCAGGGCATTACAATTGGTAACCAGTACGAACGGTTTTCTAAGTAGATCTCACTTGAAACTTTGCCAAAGCCTTCACTACAGCGAGCATCTTTAGTTCGAAACTGTGGTATCGGCTCTCGGCTTCTGTTGTCTTTGCACTGTAGTAATATACTGGGTGAAATTGTTTACCAAACTTTTTCATGAGAGCGGCTCCATATCCTTTAGAACTTGCGTCGGTGTGCAGTTGCGTTTCTCATTTGGGTCATATATTTTTGGGACTGGTTCGGTAGTAAGCGCATCTTTTTATTGAGCAAAATACTGTAACTCTTCCTGGCTAAACTGAAAGTTTGTTTGTTCGCTTAAAAGGTTTGAGTGCGATCATCGCGAAACCCTTTATAAATCGTCTGAAATAACTACAAAGTCCCAAAAACGATTTTAAGTTTTTCTTGTTTGTAGGTACACGAAAATTCCGAATTGCTGAGGTCTTATTGTTACTGATCTTTATGTTACCCTCTTGCAACTGGAACCCTAGATAATCAATGATTCTGTGTAAAAACTTGCACTTGTCTATTCTTAGGTTAAGGTTGTGTTTCTTAACCACTGCAATAACTTCTCTTAATGTCGACATATTTTCCTCTATTGTCTTTGTTCCAATCAAAATATCATCCATGTGTATTTGGATCTTTCTTTTGTTAACCAGTTCTGCAAAAATTGTGTTGATGTATCTTTGGAACACTGCTGGGCTATTCGTTAATCCAAAAGGCATCTTCAGAAACTCAAATTGTCCATTGGGTACGACGAACAAAGTGTACTTTACCGAGTTTGGGTCTATTCTGATATGGTAGAATCCATTCTTTAAATCCAGTGCCGTGAAATAGTGCGCATGCGCCAAATCACTTGTAAGGTCCTCAATAACAGGTAAAGGGAAACTGTCTCTGACCGTTTTGTCTTTAAGCCTTCGGTAATCTACTCTCGCCATTCTTCTTTTTGACCAGGACCACTGGACTTGAATAATCGGAAACACTGGGTCGAATTACGTTTTTCTCCAGCAAATCTGTGATTATTTTCTCCAAAGTTTGGATATGGAAAATTGCCTATATCTCATATTAATAACACGCGGGGACATGTCTTTTTATCGGTAGTTGACAAGGACATGGATCCACTATAACACAGGATAAGATGCCAAAAATACTTTCAATTCTTGTTGTATTTATTTATTTTCCTAAATTAAATGGGCTTAATTGACCGTAAGTATTTATTTTATTTTATCATTCACTTTTACTGATTCTTTACTGGGGTAGGTTTGCTACTCTTACCAATCTTAATGTCTAGTTCTCTGAATTCCCTAAATTTAAATGTTAGTTTAATTAATGATTTAATTGTTTATTATTGTAGTGGAGATCTCAGGTTATTTATAACGAAAATTAAGTAGAATCTTATCATCTAACTAATAAAAAATTTTTTTGATAGATGTTTAATTATATTTTACCAAGTATAGCAGATAGTGATCCGTAGTAAGCCGTTACAAATTAAATCAGGCCACATTTTCTTATTATTTGGGTAAAGCGTCTACACTGTTTAAAATATCTGCGGTGTAAAAAGTAATCCTAAAATGGTGTCAAAATCCAACACCAAATGGTGTTAATATAACACCATGAATTAGGGTTGAAAATAAACACCAAAACGGTGTTTATCTAAAAATATTTGAGAAGTGCACCTACCCAGAAAAAAAGGAATAGTTCATTTAACCCAGTTGACCCATAAGTAGTTATATTTTTGTGGATCACGTGATGTTCTTAAATCTCGCCTCTATTGACTTACATGAAGAATATATAAACTTAGGTAATCCTTTGCTTTGGTGTGACACTACAAGTTGTTCGATACTAAAGAGACCTTAAATAGGTGGAAACAGCTGTCAATACTTGAAGTATTTTAAGTTAGTAGAACGCACTAAAAACATTATCTCTAGCGAGTTGAAGGTTTCATTTTCTGGAATAATACCACTGGAAATATACTAGTAATGCGTCAAGGAACTTCCTGTTTCCTTTTTTTTTTCCTTTCTTCTGTGTAGTATGATAATTTGACCACAAACACATAATATTTAACACTGAAAAGGAGTTCAATTTACACCAGGTAAAATTTATTTTAATACTGTGTGAAAGTTAAATTAACACCATTTTAGTATTTGAATTTACACCGCCAACGAACCTTATTTAACACCATTTTAGTATTTGAATTGACACCGGACCAACGAACCTTATTTAACACCATTTTGGTTTGTATCGATATAGACCACGTATGGTGTTAATTTGGTGTTAAATTGGTCATGAAATTTTGAACAGTGTACCGTTTAAAAAAAACGGATCAATTAAGCCAAAGTTCTTTGCACTGCACTTTTATTATTGTTGTTTACGGTATCCTTGATTGTTTCAGGTTTCCTGAGAACGAAGCCGAGCTCCGCCGGAGCGCTCCCCTTGAGTGAAAAGGGCGGCCCGAAGGAGGGCGCAGTGCCGCCCGAATCGGGGGGCAATTTGGGAATATTAGACGTGGCGGCCGCCCTACGCTGGATCAAGATTAACATCGCCGCTTTTGGAGGCGATCCCGGCAGAGTTACGCTAGTGGGACACGATACCGGAGCCGCGCTGGTCAATTTGCTCTTCATTTCACCGTCCTCGAAAGGTAAGACGAATTATCAAATATTTAGTGTAATTTGCTGGAAAGTAAATCGTTAGTGCATACTAATACTTGGGTGAAATGTAAAATGACATCCTTTAAATATCCATTGTCCAAAACTTTTGCTCCGTAGTTTTGTTTCACGTATCAATATATTTTCTGGTTTATTGGTTAAAGAAGTGAGAAAAATAATTATGGGATGGGACAGAGAAGACGTAATTGGATTTTATAAAGAAAAGAGTACACAGTAAAAAAATATTTTATGTTAATCCAGGTCCACATAACTTTATGTTAACTTTACAACCAACTGTAATATGTTAACTAATTGAATAAGTAGTAATTATAACAAACATTTTGTATATTTAATAACAAAATCCTATGTCAATAATCCAACCATAATTCTTGTTATTTTAAAAAAGGACCTTATTTTAACAAACCTTTTTGTACTCAGGAACAAAAGTATTTGGTGGAAATTGGAAACTTAAATGAAAAGAATCAGTTTCCTAAACAAAAAAATTAACACATACATAAATTAACATAAAAATAATATACACACCATTCTGAAATCATTAAATTATAAAGAAATTTGGTACAATAAAATTATTAGTACTACTACAACAGTTCAGTTAAAGTTGCAGTTATCTGGCAGATAATCTCCATGGATGCCATTGTTCCTACAACGATCGATAGGGAATTTAACTGTTAGATAGACTAACTGGAACTAAATCAGAGATTGATTAACCGGCCCTTACTGATGTATTTCGTAACTTTAACTCACTTCACTATATCCCCTAATTTCAGTTTGGAAACCAGTGATGGCATCTTTTTTCGGATACATCGCACTTTGCATTCTCGTTAAATAGGTATATGGAATTTGAACAACAATAATATAATGTATTATAAACACTCTGGACAGTTGTTACGAACACGTTACGAATTAAAATAAAGTAAGCAGAAACATAAGTTGCAGACTCTGAAGTCAGTTGAACTTGTTGATGCCTATTGTAAGTGGGAAATATTTTGATTTACTGCCTGAAATCAGGTGTACTTTTTGAACGAAATAATTTGTTAAACATTAACAAAATAATCTTTAACAAAATGCTTACAAAATTGCATATTAATAATATGCAATTTTGTAAGCATTTTGTTAGAGATTATTTTGTTAATGTTTAACAAATTATTTCGTTCAAAAAGTACACCTGATTTCAGGCAGTAAATCAAAACATATTTTACCAAAAGTTTTGTAAAGGTATAATATGATATTATATATTCAAATTTTACAAAATTATGTTAACAAACTACAAACTCATGTTAACAAATCTGATTTTTATACCAGCGTATGTAAGTTTCAGAAACCATCTTGAACTTGCTTTGAAAGATATGGGAATCATCTAAAAATGTCGGAAGCATTCAAAATCGTCTATTTCAACTCGTTTAAAAACAATGATGACTAATTAGTAATTACTCGACCGATAAAGTTTAAATAGATCAATCTTTTGTGGTATCAACTTAACTCGACTGACAAATTTCGTTCGATTTCAGTTAATTAACAAAATTTGGTCAACTATTATCACCCTGTCAGAATGCGCCTTTATCGGTCAAGTTTAGTTGATCAACAAAAGTTTGACCCAGTCAAACCTACTCATTCAAGGTGCTCAGATCTTTTAAGTTAAAACATAGAGACAGACTACAAAATAGAAAAAAAGATAAAAGAAAAGTGAAAAAAAATAAAATAAAATTGTTATACTTCCTCTTACAACTAAATCGAGCCTGTGGATTTTTATTGTTTGATGTTTACTGTTTTTACATTGCGTTTTTTCTAATACTTATCTAAGTTATAAGTTTAATTGATAGGTTTAGGTTTTAGGTTTAGGTATAAGTAGGGCCCATCTTGGTGGAACTCTGACCTAGAAAACCGCAGAAAGAAAACAAGAAAGTTGTTCAACAAAGCGAAAAGAACGGGAGAATGGGACCAATACAGACACCACCTAACCGAATATAACAATGCCATCAAAAAGGCCAAGAAACTAGGTTGGCAAAAACTATGCCGGGAACTATCAGAGATACCGGCCTACTCCAGACTGCATAAAGCCATGGCCAAAGGGCCACAGCAGACCCTGGGAACATGCCTAAAACCAGAAGGAGAACACACAACTACTGAAAGTGAGACACTTAGGCTTATGCTAAGGACACACTTTCCAGGATCAATCATACTCGAAAATTCGGAAATCCAAAACCAAACCACACTTGAAATAAAAAGGGGAAAAAAGGAGGACTGGATTCTATCGAGAAAAATAATAACATACGAAAAAGTTAAATGGGCAATAAAAACTTTCAAACCATTTAAATCTGCCGGAACTGACGGAATCATACCAGCCATGTTACAACAGGGCCAAGACCTGCTGCTACCAAGACTGTGCAAAATCCTAAGAGCCAGCCTAGCTCTCAATCACATACCGGAAGGATGGAGAGAGGCACTGGTGGTTTTTATACCAAAACCAGCAAAAGCCTCCTATGACAAACCAAAATCCTTTCGACCAATTTGCCTAACATCATTTCTTCTGAAAACAGAGGAAAAACTGATAGAGCAACATATACGGGAAGAAGTACTGCACAGAAGGCCTCTACACCGAAATCAATTTGCCTACCAAACAGGCAAGTCTTGCGAATCCGCCATCCATGAGATAACCCAAAGGGCTGAGCAATCTTTAGACAACAAAGAAGTGGCCCTTGGGGCATTCCTGGATATCGAAGGAGCGTTTGACAACACGTCATATGACTCAATAAATCGATCAGTAAGAGATCGCAACATAGAACCTCTGGTTGGCAAATGGATCAAACAGATGCTGGCTCAACGACGAGCCAGAACCACTCTTAACAACACAACTGTTAGAGCTAAAGTGTGCAGAGGGACACCACAAGGGGGGGTGCTATCACCCCTGCTATGGAACCTCGTATCGGACAGTTTACTGACACGATTGGAAAACAAAGAAATATACGCAATAGGATATGCGGACGACATTGTACTCCTTATCAGAGGCAGCAACACAGCCCATGTGTTTACCAAAATGCAAAGGGCGCTAAACGCTGTCGAAAACTGGTGCAATGAGGAGGGACTTCGGGTAAATCCCACAAAAACTTCCCTTATCGCCTTTTCTCGCAAAAGAAAGTTAGAACCCGTGAAAAACCTAATCTTCTACGGGGAAACGCTGCCCTTGAAAAACGAGGTTAAATATCTAGGAGTTACACTGGATAAAAAACTCACCTATCGGATGCATATAGAGAACATAACAAATAGGGCCATAAAAACCTTCATGACCTGTAAAAGAACATTTGGTAAATCTTGGGGACTGTCACCAGGCATGGTACAATGGGTGTACACAGCTATGGTCAGACCCATAATTACCTACGCGGCGCTAATATGGTGGCACGCAACAAAAACAAGGACTGTAAAACAGACACTCAGCAGAATCCAAAGACTGGCGTGCTTGGGAATAACTGGTGCAATGACAACTACACCGACCGCAGCCATGGAAAACATACTAGGACTCCCCCCTCTACACATTCAGATTAAAGCTGAAGCGTTAGCGGGAGCCCAAAGACTAATCTCAAATAAGGCCGAAGTTATTTCCACCATCAGGCATAATGCCATATTTGAAGAGCTAGAAAATACTGGCAGTCTAGCCATTAGAACAGACAAAGCCAAGGTCAAACACTTCAATAAAGCATTTATCTCAAAAAGGATAAAGGCTGAGGAGATAAACAACCAAATCGCCCGACTCAGGCAAGAAGAAAACCTAATCTGGTACGTAGAACACAAGCGGTCAAAGACCGGTGTTTCTGCGGGCATAAAAGAGGTATCTCAACAGGGCAGCCAAGAAATACTAAACCTGGGAAAAGAGATAACCGATCTTCAAGCGGGCATCATTGCCATACAATTGGGTTTCCAACGAATGAGGGAGAGCAATCCCACGGAGAAGTTGCTCACCATCATTACACACGAACCAGAACCAATCCAGGCACTGGAGGCATTTGAAATCAATTCGAAGGCCGTACTAGAATGTCTGAGAGATATGACGGCATTAACCGAAGCACAAAACCAGATAACTCTTATCCTTGTGCAAGAAGAAGGCAGAAACAGTTCGATGAGGTGGAAGCCAAACTTCGCAGCTGATGAAGCCGAAACCCTGCTGATGGGGCCGGAACCCACATGCGGCACCAGCCAAGAATCATCCAGGAAAAAACTAATTGACTGGACAGAACTACAACACAAACAATACTGGGAAAGCCTGTCTGGTCTGGAGCATTCGAAAGCACTTTTGGACAATCCATCTGCTGAAGGGCAGAAACCAATGAGGACATATACCAGGACCCAACTAAAAAAAGCGTTAGGCCTTCTCACAGGCCATGCTCCATTCAAAAAACATCTTCACAAAATGGGGATGACAGATGACCCCTTGTGTAGAGGATGCGAAGAAGAAGAGGAAACACCTCTTCACATTATGTGTCAATGTGAGGGATTCAACACCTTAAGAAGAACACACCTGGGAGAGTCTAAACTCACACCAGAACTTTTAAAATTGCTTCCACTGCCTCGGCTACTGCGCTTCATAGAAGCAACGGAGCTAGAGCTATGGAAGTAATACCATTTAGGGCACAATAGGATTGCGAAAGCAAACCGCAGTGCAGGGCTTTGAACCACCTAACGGGGGAGTTTTAGTGGGTATACGTCAATAGACGGAGTCCCACACTACTCGGGGCCCCAAGAGGAACCGAGTGTTCGTAAAGAATTTCTCCGCCGGCCAAAGAAAAAAAAAATGGCCAAAACTGTTTGGCCTTTTTATTTATGGAAATGTACTCTCATGGCATAAGATTGTGAACAAGTGTTTTGGTTTTGTATATTTTTTATCTTGAAATGTTTTAATTTTGCCTTATACAACGCTTATACATTATTGTAACTTATTTTGTAATTTCTATAAATAAATAAATAAATAAAATAAAATAAA